TCGTTCTCAGTGCCAATAATTGTGGTGCAGAGTAATCTTCACCAAACGAGACTCTGGCAGCAATAGCATCATCATGAAGCAATAGCCCTCTCGTACAGGAGATTATTGTTGACTATTGTAAATTGGTGCTTCAATAAACTGTCATAAATTAATTAATTCAACTGCGTAATAAAGTTATTCCTTTTTCTCTCCTAAGCGAAGCAGATTTATTCTTATCTCTATTTATCAACCCCTAACATTGAACGTAAGATTGTATAAAAAGTGTTCGAGTTATATGGCGCATCTGAACTCGTCTGTCAAAAAATTGGCGCATGGTATGCAAAAGGTTGGCCACCCCTGTGTTAGGAAATAAGCCCAGTACAATTCTTGATTGGAATGATTATAAGCGTTATGTTTGTACCAATTTTGTAATATCGTTAATCATTATAAAATTAGGTGGTGCAAACAGTCGTTGAGGTGTACGAAAGTCGATTTACACGTAGAAAACAAAATGTCTGACGTGTTCTTCAGCAGCAGGGGGTCTTTGGTGGAATTAGCCGTGAATCGAAAGTGTTTTTTTTTTTTTTAGTCAACGTGCGAGACCGTTCAGCTAAAATATCGATTGATGCAATAAGAAATAATGTGAAAGAAGGTAGTATAATATTTTCAGGCAGCGTAACAAAAATATTAGTTAGAAGCCGGATGCAAACGTTTGCGAGTAAACAACAGGTATATAAACTTTGTAGACTCTGAAAATTGATGTCATGCTCCAAGCAAAAATAATTGTAGAAAGTTTATTTCTTTGTTAATTGTTCATACAATTAATGTTAACTGTAATTATAAACATGTATGAAATACGAAATAAAATATCGATTTCGTTAAAAATAGTATTAAAAATGACTGGTATCCCGTTAAGCAAAGAGTACCTTAAGATTACTAGATTCTTTCGTACTTCTAACCCTTCCATTATATTATAGTACTGTATTTGATTTATATAACTACGAATGTTACCTCTAAGAAACTATTCCATTCACAGCCGAATATCAAATGGTCATCTGACAACGAATCAAATTTAGCGAAAAAGGGACCAAATATTTAAACTCTGCACCCTCGAAAAACCACTTAAATCATATTTTATGCAGGCCGGTAATCTCGTATTTTACATTTTCCAATTTCAATGCCACCGATAGAAGAGGCATTGGAATTGGAAAGGGGGTCGAAGTAATTCAAGCAAAAGTAGTTGACCTCCTCCCGGAAGAGAGAATGATCAACCAATACTAATTAATAGGGTCTACTATTAATATTTGATAAATGACCGTGTTCACTTTCAAGGCGCACGTTAACCTTAATCTTAATGTCCGAGACTTCGTATGACTTGTTTAAATAAAAAAATTTTGTAGAACTAAGAATGATTTCTTTTATGTTATACCTACGGTATTTTAAATGTGTTCTTAACTGTTCTTTTATGATTTTTAAAATTTTGAAGATGGCTTGTATAACATGTTGAAAACGTTTGTTACGGTCAATAAATAATTCTGAGAGATAAGGTGCTTTTTGTGTAGGTTAAGAAACATCTAGCTGGGTATTAAGTATTTTGTTATAATAAAGTGTTTATATTTTTGCAACAGATTGCACGTTCTCGTAAATATCGAGTTTATAGAAAAATTATTGGACTACAATTTGAAAAAATTATAGACTTACAAATTTCGCCTGTTGTCTGTTTGTATGGTGTCTGTCTGTCCTTCGTCAATCTCGAGAAAGCAGTTAGATACATGAAAGACGAGACCAGATGTAGAAAGCATAGAGACAGGAGGCCGATATATTAACTATATAGGAATTTAAGGTTTGGAATGGATGGCCCGTTACTTCGATTCAAAATTTTCTCCCGAACAAAGTTAGATCGATGACCGGCACAACTCTATTGCTAAAAAAAAGTATGATATACAGGGGCAAACAACTAAAAATTGAGAATGTGACGATGTCACAATAAATAATCGCTGGTTAGAATTAGTTTGGTTTATTTGGTTACTGCAACACGACACGTGAGTGATCTGCCGGGGGATGCATTCCAAGAAATCTTTTATGGGAAGCTGGACCCTATTTAGATGAAGAAACCCCGGAAAACTCCACGTGGTCAACCCGTATGCCATGATCGAACCCACGATTCCAGACCAGAGTTCGGTGGTTTTATGCATTCGGCTACTGGAAGGCGCTTATTAGAATTAAAAGTACCGTTCAGAAATTAAAATATTAAATTCTTAAATACTTGTTACCCTGTGAAAAATCTATTTAATATTTTCGATTGCACGCAGGTAAACGCTATATACCACCTGTCGCAGTAATTATATACCGCGCTGTATATACATTGTATATTATATTCACTTCATTATTGCGACAGTGATACAGCGCGGTATATAATTACTGCGACAGGTAGCATACATTAAAAATTTAACAAAATAATAATAATTGATTTACAGAAATACAATAGTGGTTCGGCTGAGGCAGCAGACTAATGCCTTACCGTCTCGGGCCGAGACGATAGATGATTGGCCAAGACTCTCGGTCAGTCATCTATCATTTTGAAGAATCGATGCCATGTTGGCCGATCATGCAATAGGCAAAGTTCTCGATTCAATTAAAAATTTTTTTTTTGTAATTAGAAGATAGCATTTCCAAAATTAAGATTTTCAATTCAGTTTGCTTATTTATTTATTTGGAAATTTTAACTAGACGGCCGGATGGATAAGTCGTTATTTATTGGAGATGGTCTGCCCTGTATATATCAGGACTCGTCCGTCATTATCCAGACATCCCAATTATAAGCCTGGCCAAATCGTAGATTTGGCCAGGCTTATAGCACCCAAAAGTATGGAAAAATGAAAATAAGTACCAGTCGCCCCCTCTATAACACTGTTGATAATTCCGTTTTATATGAATTTCATGTTGTACGAGTCACTTAGATTTTACAAATACGTGTGCCGGGCTGTGAACGGCTCGCGTATTTGTAAAATCTAAGTGACTCGTACAACACGGAATTCATATAAAACGGAATTATAAACAGTGTTATAGGGGGGGTCAACTGTATAAGTATCAAGGTACCCTTAAGGTACTGTACCTTGCTTTCCAAACTTTTGCACATCACAACAGTTTTTAGTTCTATGGATTGTACTGTACACAAAGATTGCTGAAACAAATTTTCTCAGGTTAGAAGAGGGACTATTAGAAATATGACTACTCTCAGTACTAGTGAACTTTTTGTCAGACCGTCTAGCTTTGATTCAAAAGAAAATATTTATATTTATTTATTTATTGCAAAATTCTTCGAGTTACAAAGACAATATTGATAAGGTCTGTTTAACGGCTACTGCCATCCGACATTTTTTTAAGTCCAAAAATTCAGGAGACACCTCCATCCCTGTCGACCATTCAACCATTCTATCAATACAGTACTTATTGGTCTAATGTGTAACTGTAACGATCAGATTTAACTGACAATAAGCGTATTAAAGATATTTGAGTAATTCATTCTAAAGTTTCTTGACCTTTCTACAAAATGAACAAAGAAATTACCGATTTAAACTGACGACAGACACGCGAGAACAATACACGCCGTTTCTATTTTTAAAAAGAAAAAAAGGGCAGGAAAATTTAGTCTGGGTGTTATGTAAGGAGTAAGATAGATAAACAAAGACAGTAAAACAGAAAAAATTCCCGGAAATAATCAAAGGAAGTGAATTAAATTAAAAAATTTAATATTCTTCCGCGTTTCTCTTTCGATGGCATTTTTCAAAATAGAAGAAACTGAATTTCCTAACGATAATTTACATTTGTGTTTTGTGAATCATTCACCAGATAGCGCTACCTCGTAATCGGATGCCATTAGATAGATCGGAAGGAACAAATGTCTTTGAATCAATTACGTTCCCGTTCGGAACGCATCGCCGTCGTTGGAGCGGGAGTCGTCGGTTTATCGACTGCTTTGTGCATTCAAAACAAACTTCCCGATGCGCGTATTACGTTGATAGCGGACAAATTTAACGAACAAACGTTAAGTGACGGGGCGGGCGGATTGTTTCGCCCCGAATTAGACATTGGACCGAGTATCGATATTTTAAAGTAAATTTAGTTTTATTTTCCTTACAAAAATTAGCAATGTTATTGCATTTCGAGATACAGTATTAAAGTTTCGTGAAATCGATAGTAATGAATGTATGGAATGGCCGCAAAGTTCCTAACTTACTAGTTGGAAATTATGCTGAAAACGTCATCTGCATAGGATGATTTCTGTTCTCCATGTTGACAGTGGGAAAATCATTAAATCTGTATTTAATAGTAAGGCAGTTTTGCTTTCGTAATACCTGGGAGTAAATTATTGCATTGCTATTAAATCTAGACTTTGTGGAAGTCATGCTGTATCAAACCTACATCTAATTCATTGACTGCTGCATTTGTCAATTTATTCTCTAACTAATAGGCTTATTATGGGGATTTTGCTGTCGCCGGGTATAATAGTGCAGTACAGAGGTTCTGAAAGTTTGGTTCGTGAGCGTGTGCCGAGTAGTATCTGTTTGTTTTTCCAAAATGTGATCCGGTGCCATTTAGCCCAAGAAAAGAACACTTCTGTGAACCGTGTCTTATGTTAGGTTACCGGATGGACAGAATATTTTGGCACATAATCTATTGTTATCTAAGATGAAATTTACGATATAAGATATGGATGGAGGTGTGTGTGGTATGCAGTTTGTCTGTGACTTGGTTTAAGTAATCCGTGGATTGATAACTTTGAGAACCTCTGATGTAGGATACAAATATAAAAAAGTGTGAGAATACATCTATTAATTCTTTATATATACATATGTAAACATAATTCTGTTTTTCTGTCACAACTACTGTAGGTGGGATTCGATAAGTGATCGATAATGAGTACATTAAAATGTCTAAACTTTTTACTAGTTATTAGCTCTTCAAAGCAAATTGAATTAATTGAAAAAAGAATAAGTCACACCCACTATTTCCAGCAAAGCAGTGTAATAAAATTTAATGAAATGCATGTTTTTGGCTACATTACACTACTTATTTTTAGTATGTTCTGGGTTTAGTAGGTTCGTAGAGAAAAAATTTAAGAATGCTAAAGTTGAAGTATCACAGCCTTGAAAGTATTGATGCAAAATAAATAAAGCTTATTAATGTACTAAATTTATTATGAGTTTATTATTAAAAGAATCAGTGAGTAAATTAAATAATACAACAAAATCTATGTAATATATNGCGAACAGCACGACGTTCGACTAGCGACAGTCACAATCCAGATTGTAGGTAAATCGAGATAGAAGTGAGTCGTGGATTGTGTGCGAACGTAGTATTACGGGAAAGCGGCGCCGAACGTCCGACCTACACGTTTACACGTTTAAAACGTCTGCCTCAACCTCTCTAACATTAGTACAGTGGTGCCTCGAATAACGGACGCTGCGAACAACGGACTTTCCGTTCAGCAGTTACGTGAGGCGAATAAGCGCGAATGATGTTTCCACTCTTTTGCCGTTGCCGATGACAATTTGCTATTTTTATAATTTATTAGTATTATTAGAATATATTGTTGTTATATCTGAAGTAGAGCTTCCGTTGGGATTCGGCTTGCTCCCTTGTTTATTACTACATCACCTTAGTGCAGGGTATTTACATTTATTCAAGTGTTGTGCAAATCATGGCTTCTAAAAAAAACAGAAAGGTGATTTCAATTGAAACAAAGAAATCATCAGAAGGAGTGAAAATTGACACAANGTTAATAATTCACATTTTATTAAACATTTTTGAAATTGAAATTTTATTTAAATAAAATAAGATAGGAAAATAACCATTCTGATAAAAAGTTTTTCTTTATTTCTTGTTATTATAATTGTGTAGATGACCATTTGTTTTATTACATATAACTTCTTCGTCCTGGCCTATATAACCCAGATTATTTGGGTCAGCCCGGAATGTCAATTTACGCCACGTTGGTCTATCTAATTGTTTCTTCATCCACTCCACAGTCCAGCATATCCATTTTTATGCATTCAATCCATCTCTTCTTAGGTTTTCCTCTACCTCTATCTCCCTGTACTTTCATATTTAGTGCCTTTTTTGTTACATGTTCTTCATTCCTTCTCACCACATGTCCAAACCATGTCAGTCTGTGGCTTTTTATTTTTTCTGATAGATACTACCTTTAAACTTCTACTGATGTAATCATTTCTAATCCTATCCATCCTTGTGACCCCGCACATCCACCTCAGCATTGGTATCTCTGCCACATGCAATCGCTTCTCTTCGGTGGCTGTCATTGGCCACACTTGCACCCATACATAAGCACGGGTCTGATGACAGTTTTATATATTAGCCCTNGGAACGAATTATATGTTTTAACATGTATTTCTATGGGAAAATGCGTTTCGTATAACGGACTTTTCACTTAACGGACGTGCACCTGGAACGGATTAAGTACGTTATACGAGGCACCACTGTATAGACTAGCGGATGAGCCCGGCGTTGCTCGGGGAAAAATAACAGCAAACATTAAGATTGGTACTGTTTGCTTAACGGGACACCGGTCAATTGATGAAATCCGACTCGCGTCTACATCTTAATGTTTACTTTAATTTAGATTAAATTGTATATAAAATTAATTAGAATGCAAACCTACCCTTTTCTTTAAGTATGTATAAAAGTTGATTATGAAATTAAACAATGATTATTAATACACGTTTGATATCGAAATCGATTAGCATATTATCGTGTTGGAATAATTAATACGGATAAATATAAACTAGTTTTGTATTATACGTATAACTCGTTATTTTATGTTATTCGGTGATAAAGTCGAAATTAGGATAATATTAAAAGTTAAAATAACATTTTTTAAAAAATTTATTTTCAATCTACTTTGCATAGTGTCTCGTTTCATAGTTGCGTCACTCAACAACATGTGGTTATATAAATTATGTTTCTTAATAGGAGTGATGTACTGTACAATATAGTACCTGAAAATTAGATACTGTATTTTTCCCCCAAAGTTTGCCGTAATCGTTCTTTTCGATCAGTTTGTTGTTATTCGATTGAAACTGGTTTTTTAGATTATGGCAATTGTGAAATGAAGAAACCGATTCGTTTTTTTCCTAGAAATTGGAATCTTACATGATGTGTTAGGACAAGGGTGGCCAAACGTGGCGCATTGGACGTTACAAGTGGCGCTTCAGTTAGTTCTGAGCAAAATTGCCAGATTTGGCTTTTTTGCGATTAAGAATATTATATAAAAAAATAAATTTTTTATAGTCTGTCATGGCAAGTTCATTTGTTGCACAATTCGTTACAGTCTATTTTGCAGATAAAATGAGTGTTCTGCACATAGTAAATTACAGTGAATGCACGTATTTTGAGTCTTGCGATCTTTATTTACGATCAGTTTACAGGCGTGTAAATGGCCGAAAACATTTATTGTGATTAAAGTTATTCCAAGCTGATCTTGTTCTCAGTGCCAATAATTGTGGTGCAGAGTAATCTTTACCAAACGAGACTCTGGCAGCAATAGCACCATCATGAAGCAATAGCCCTCTCGTACAGGAGATTATTGTTGACTATTGTAAATTGGTGCTTCAATAAACTGTCATAAATTAATTAATTCAACTGCGTGATTAAGTTATTCCCTTTTCTTTCCTAAGCGAAGCAGATTTATTCTTATCTCTATTTATCAACCCCTAACATTGAACGTAAGACTGTATAAAAAGTGTTCGAGTTATATGGCGCAT